ACTAAATCTAAGCACTCAGAGAGCACGTGTACCTCTGCCAAGGCACAACATGCTCTCACGCAAATGCCCTTGTGAAAAATTAGATCCAGAACAACACAAAATGTGTCCTAAAATCCTTCTGGATTATCTTTTAGGGTATGGTAGGCAGTTATACTGTGTATCCTACCTAAAAATTTCAGGGTTCTAACTTCTTTATAGGCCAAGCTATGGAAGAAAATATACATTAAATGGGGTTTTCAATGTTAACATTAATGGCTGTCAGATCTGGAATCCTGATCCGATGTAGATGAAATTTAGTCTGGTGATAAACATTGCCACCCTACATATGTGTGCCAAATTTCAAACAAAAATGATTTTGATAACTTTTGAAGGAGATATTCAATTTTTTTTTATTTGCCCCTTGTTAATGATGGGATTTTTTTGTGTTTGATTTTTTATTAGTTATTTTTTGTGACCTTGAACTTTGACCTTTTTCAGCCAAAATCTAATCACTTCTAGGGTTGATCCCCATCAATGTCTGTACTAGGTATGCTGATGATCCATCCCACCATTTGTTTGTAATCCTGCTAACCAACAACCCCACATACACACAACACACACACGGAACCAAAAACATAACCTACTCAGTGGAGGTAACAATACTTTCTCCACTTGGTAACAGCTACAGTATGTTTTAGACTCCATGCTTCCACCTGTGCCCTTTTTAAACCATTACCCTTACATGGACACCGGTTGGCCAGGGTTCATGTTCTACCTGACAACATAATTTCAAGAAATTAACAGGATCAACCTGAGATAGGCCAGAGCTCTCAGACTGGTGAAGCATGAGGCTCACTGTAGTATAAACTGTTAAAATGGACCTTCGGTTTTGGCATCAATTCAAAACTGAACGCTTTAATAATTTTTCAGTTGTTCTTGGATCAGAATTCACACATCTGTGTGTGATCTGCTCATATTATGCACCTGTTTAAGTTCATCTGGGACAACTTGGTCCAGATTTAACTGCCTGAATTTGAGAAGGAATAATCTGCTCACCTTGGTTGTCTACATGAAAAACATCACCCCGCGCTTGGATTGGAAAGGAGCTCAGCCCTGGAGGACCTGGTGGTCCGGGAGGGCCAGGTAGACCTATTTCTCCTGGTAAGCCTCTGTCCCCTTTTGGTCCTGAGTACCAAGAAAACACGCAAAATACAGTTAAGTAATGATTTCTTTACTTTAATCAAACAGTCACAATTATCCCCAAACTGTCTTTAAATTAGCAGATGAGGCTTGAAGGTCTGATAATGATTTACCAATGGGTCCAGGAAGCCCTGCTCTTCCAGCTGGACCTGGAGCTCCAGCAGAACCAGGAAGCCCAGGAGGTCCGATGGGCCCTGGAGGGCCTCTGCCTTCTAGTACAAAAAGAGACTGTCACAGTCAGGTGTAAAGTTCAAGGAATCGTTCTCTCAAAAAGATGTAAAGAAGTTCATCTTGAGATTAAGAGATAAAAGGTTGCAATAGAAAGTCTGTGTAACAAACCATTGGTGCAGGGTTTCAAAGATGATGGGACACCAATATTAATAAACAGCTTTTCAGCATCTCTACAGCATATTTCAAGAAACATGTTTTATATGATGTTTGATACCTGGCGGCAGGTGTGACGGCCGTCCAATAGGAGTGGGCTGGGGTGTGTCCACCTCGTTACCTGTAGAACCCTCTGGTAGACTGACAGTCGGCAGCGAGGGACGTCCCTCTTCTAACAGTCTGATCTGGAACAAGAGCAGCACACATCAGAGATATCTGTACTCTGTGAAACAAAAGAATCTGTTTACTTAAAATGATTGTGAAGTGTAATTGTTTACATTATTAATGTGATAAAGGTTTGTAGGGTGTGACCAGTAGAACTATTTGGACAGAGGGAACTTCTTTACCTTAGACTCAATGGCTTTTATTCTGCTGTTCATGTCAGTGAAGCTGGTACAGTTCATACACTCTGTAAGAAAGAAAGACAAACCAGAATTAAGTTAGTTTCCACATGACAGCAGGCATGCTGCTTCTTCTCCATCTGACTTTTTCTGTTCATCCCTTTCTGTCACGGTGGCGTCTATTGTCTCTCTCAGTGTAGTCCGTGTTTGTTACCATATTGTGTTTTTACTGATGTTTGTTTGCTGGTTGGTTTGTTCACAGTATTGCGGTAGTGAGACCACTTCTAAAAAAGTCCAACCTCGATTCCTCTCTCTTATCTAATTTCCGCCCAATTTCCCTCTTACCTTTCCTATCTAAGGTCATGGAAAAGATTGTTCTTACTCAACTGCAATCTGATTTAGATCGGCTTAATATTGGTGACAAATTTCAAACAGGCTTTAAGCCCCACCATAGCACGGAATCTGCTCTGCTGAAGGTCCACAATGACATTGCTTTGGCCCTTGATGCTAAGCAGCCTGTCATTTTAGCTTTGCTAGATCTATCAGCAGCCTTTGACACCACTGATCGCACGGTCCTGATCTCCCGCCTAGAACATTATGCTGGCCTAATATATCAAGGCATAATGTGCATTTTCATTTTTATGCAGACGATGTCCAGATCTATATGCCCCTGACCCAATGTGATTCCAATGCTCTCGCTCCCCTTTTTAACTGTATCCGTGACGTCAAACTCAAAACTTTCTCCACCTAAATGAGAGCAAGACCGAGTACATCGCTTTCAGTCCAGACTTGGCCACCCTGAGACCCAAGCTAGGTGCCCTGACCCCCTCAGTCACTGACACTGTTAAAAACCTTGGAGTAATATTTGACAGCAGTTTTAACTTTGATAAACAAACCAGCTTCTTTCATTTGCGGATGCTAGCAAAAGTGAAGCCCTTCTTGTCTCATGTAGACTTAGAAAAAGCAATACACGCTTTTATTACATCCAGACTTGACTACTGCAATGCCCTTTATGTCGGTATCTCAAAATCCCTCCTTTGGAAGCTACAACTTGTACAGAATGCTGCAGCTCGGCTCCTGTCATGTACTCCTAGGTATGCTCACATCACTCCTGTTCTCTTCTCGTTGCACTGGCTTCCAGTGAAATTTGGAATTGATTTTAAAGTGCTCTTATTTGTTTTTAAATCTATTAATGGCCTCACCCCCTCATATCTTTCGGACCTTGTGTCTGTCTACTCTCCCTATAGACCCCTACGCTCTGCAGACCACCTATCTCTAGTCACCCCCCGCTCTTGTTACAAAAAATGGGGCGATCGCTCATTAAGCAGTTATGGCCCTAGGCTGTGGAATGCGCTACCTCTTGAAATACGGTCCATAACCGAGTTGGCCCCTTTTAAGGCAACTCTAAAAACGCACTTTTTTAGACAGGCCTTTGACAACTAATCCAGAAATCTCTTTTGCTGCTGTTTTATCATCCATCTCGTCGATATGTCCTTTTCTTGTTGTTTTTAAGGTCTGTTATGCTAGTTATGTTTTTTTATGTGTTCTGTGAAGCACTTTGTGCTCCTTTTGCGGGTTGTAAAGTGCTATATAAATAAAGTATTATTATTATTATTATTATTACTCAAAAAGTTATGAATGGTTCTGGATGAAATGTTTTGAAGAGGTAGGGAATGGCCCACAGAACAATACATTAGATTGTGGTGCTGATCTGGATCATGGTCCAGATCCCGGATTTTTTTTAAAGGATTCTTCACCATTGTGAGATAAAGTCTAGTTCAATATTTTACTTCTAACTCTACACAGTACCTACAGTGCTTGGACAAAAAATTGCAAAATAACATCCCCACAGGACCTACCACACACCAAAGTCTGTAGTATTCTGGATATGGTGATGCAGTGTTCACATTTATAGGGCTCACAGAAAACGTGCTACTGTGACACAGAAAATGATGTTACAGACTTGTAATTAAGATCTAATTCATGTGGAAAACACTGGCATTCCACCGAGGCAGATGATGGTTCATTGCCTGGCATTTCTGTAACATATCCTTGGACTTCTGATTTGCAAAAGAGGTCGTAAATCTCAAAGGAAGTTTTCTCCCTGGTAAAATAAAGGTTAAATACATTAAAAAAAAATATTCCTCCGTCTCTGCTTCATTTCTTTCATTACTGTTTTTCTTTTTGTCCTGGCACCGTTAGTAGTATCTTTCTGTCTCACACTGAGCAAGTCAGGCCAAGGTACACAAGAACAATGCCCATCAAACCAGAGCCAAGATATTAGGAATTCCTCCTTAAATTGCATCAATCACTCACAGAATAAATATGATCAGACCTCTCATAAAAGACCTACACACATATCCTTGTTTTTGTCACTTACCAGGCTTTTACAAACACTTAATTCATTTCCTGGAGACTTACCCAAACCCAACCTGAACCCTACTCTAACCTTAAACCAACTCCTGTTTATAAAATTCAGCAACTTACTTCATGGGGACCTGTATCTGGTCCCAACGAGGGAGGTGAACGCCCACAAAGATAGTGTGTTCCCGAATTTTTGGTACCCACAAGTATTGAAAAAACAAGGCTACAGACGCATACCAGCCTGGCGCACGCCTGCTCATCTCCTGACTCGGCATGTTTTCTGTCTGTCTGCCCACTCACACTGATGGCCTGTATGCCCACACTCACATCCTCCTCCAGATACCTAATCCATTAACTGTATGCAGCACATGGAAATGCAAATAAACACACGTTTTCACATACAGCCACACAGCAAACGCCCACAGCTCCATCCACGTACTTTCACAGACATTTTCAAACATCCCCAAGAAAACTTGTAATGTACAGCATATTTATTTTAAAAACACAGTTTATTTTGTTTGACTGACCTGACAAATTATGTAGCTGCTTGTTAACACTACATGAAATATAATTTAAAGACAGGTGATATCCTGTGTTTATTATTCAATATGTTTTTATCCAGTGAGAAACTCTCAATGAATTGGCCCTATTCACAGGTATTGTCTATGTATCTGAAGCTTTATAAAACCTATTCCTCTCTGCCACACACCTCTACTCTTGTCATAACTATTACATCACACACTGTCGCACTGCGACATGTTCCTTCATTATGATTCGTACTGTACGGGCACTATAATTTATTTTGAGTTGATCAGTTATGCTACTGTGAATACTCACTAGCACATCTGTATTGAAGGTGAAAACATGGTCTTATATTTGTATAGTGCTTTTCTATGCATTGCAGCACACTCAAAGCACTTTCTCACTATTCGGCCATTCACCCATTCGCACTCACACACCTGCAACATCACCAGGAGCCACTAGGGGTTCAGTGTCTTGCTCAAGGATACTTCAACATGTGGACTGGACAAGTTGGGAATGGAACTGTGTAATATTCCGGTTAGGTGACGACCCGCTCTACCTCCAAATGTCAACTTGTGGGAACATATGTGGGCATATGTATGGTCACCTTTTAGGTTGATATAGCAAACATGTCTGTTTACAGATCCAGAAGACATGGGTCAAACATCCATTTGGAGTCCACCTGATGAATCTAAGTCCAATATTCACTCTCTTTAAGCAACACCTGAGGGAAATATCTGTCTCCTTAGCTTTGATAACCTTTGTCTGTTTGCTGTTTGGTGCTGAGCTGGTAAAATATGGTAGAAACAGCTGCCTGCTGTGTGTTCTCTTGCTCTCAACATTTTATGTTATCATCAGTTTGTTTTGAACACTCTGGTCATGTCTCTCACAAAGCACACTGCTATAATCTAGTTGCCATTAAACCACAGAGAGGCTATCTCGACAATCCTTGCTGTGCAGCAATTTTGCACCCTTTACATGAGCCGTAATGCACAACATGAAAAAAACACTTTATTTGTGCTAAATCTGAGCCTTCTTCTGGTCTATGGCTCAAGAGAAGTCTGGAATGCCAGCTGTCTGTGCCACAGATGGGAGCCATACTGTGGTCATAGCAGGAATACCTAGAATGAGGAACAACTGGTGCTCATAAATAACTAACATGACAACAAGAATGACCCAAACAGCTCTGGTCTGCCTAAGTCATCATCTCCGCCCATCACACACAGGGTACTAACAGCAGCTCAGGTTTCCATTTCACTGAAATAGTACAGGGTGAATGTCTGTAGTCCAGTGGCGTACTGGGCTGCAAGGGTGTGGTTTCTCAATGTCTTGTTTCAGCATCTTGAATCTCACCTGGAGCACAGCCACAAACAGACACAGCAATCAAAAGCCCAACCCAAAACACATCCTGAGGATCCTTCCACCCAGATACTGAGAGCTGTTCAACCGCAAGAGGCCAAACTGACCCCCGTGAGCCCATGAGCCCCTCGTTGTGACGGACTGCACTGAGGTTTCCTCGACGTCTACCCCAAAGACATCAAAGCTGCACACATCACAACAGCAAGACTGTGGGCAAACATGGGCTCCACAGTGTGAAGAGACCTATGAGCTGATATGCCTTTATCTCCTCCAGGGGAAGTCCCCACCCTCTGGTACACTCTCTGTTATACACAACATATCAATCTGAGATACATTGCAAGAGTTATTTTGTGTTTTGTCTTAGTTTAGTTTTAAGCCAAATTAGTGGTGCAGCTTTCTGCACAGGAATGTCAAATGTCAGTTAGCCTGTTGGTTTGTCCACCATTTTGAGTGAAATCTCCCTGCTGGACTGATTGTTCTAAAATTTGGTAGACATTCATCTCCCCCCTCGGGATGAATTTTAGTAGGTCTGGAGCTTCCTGAAGTTTCCATCTAACACCATCACTGGGTCAAAATTACATTTGTTCCAGCAAAAAGAATTAAATTCTCATCAGCCTCATATATTTAGTACTAAATAGCGAATGTGACCATGCTAACTAAAATGGTTAATAAGGTAAAATATATCACTTCCTAAAATGTTAGCATTGTGACTTTAGCACTGAGCTAAACACACTGCTATAATGCCTGAGTTCATCCTGACAGAGATGATAATGTGTGTAGACTCTTTAGTGTGGTTTAGTTTTCACCCACTTTCTCTCAACAT